GCTTTATTTCTTTTGAGATGCTGTTATGACACCATACAAAGTCTTCTACTTTGATTTGTCAACTATGCAAAAGCATTATTCAGAAGTTTTGCAAGAATTCCCTTCTACTAATGCTGAGGCGATTACATTTTAGAAGCGCCCCAAATTATAAATCGTTGTTTCCCCAAATGAGGTGCTCATTAAAACTCACAAGGAAGATAACAGGAATGCCATTGCGATGATAGATAATGCATAAACCATGAAGAGAGTGACGACAACGGACGCGCTTGTCAAACGAAACACAGCTTCATCGTAGTAGAGCAGAGCAGTGTTGAGAATGTTGGACAGTGTGGCCTTAAGAAAACATTGCGCAGTCTTCTTACAAACCTAGTCTAAATATTTTCATGCCTGAGGTAACGTCGTAATGACCCAGGATAACCAGATCATCCCCGTATCAGCTCCCATGCAACGCATCATCTAAAATTCAAACAAAATGTGCATGTTACGAAAATAAAATAGTTCAGTATTTTCGGTTACTTCAGTGAGGCCGTGCTCCTTTTCATAAACAATGTTTTCCACCAGAAACGAAATGGTGAATAAGTAGGAAAGAGCGAGAATAATCAAAATCACAGTTTGCATGTTGATGAGAAATCTGTAAAAGGTATTTTAGTAGTACAGTAATTAACATTTAGCATGGCTACATCCGGGAATCATTCATTTTGAGAGCAACTGTCTCATTAGATAGCGCTATCTCCCCTAAGTGAAACGGCATTAATGCTAGTAGAATTCATGGAGCAGAAGAAAGCTTGCACAACGCATCATTTTATGGTTGGTGCCAGATTGCTGCTATATGCATAAGGGATATAGAATCAAATTTTTTATCTTCTTATTCCCTATATTAGCATAAACTTCACGCGATTCTGAGGGTGTGTTAGGCCTCATTTACTGCTTTTGCTATTGGAATCGACAAATGAAACAGACAGATGACGTAATACGCCAGGTGGGTATTTCCTCTATTTAGCAAAGAGATTGTTCATATGTGCAGTGTTGAGTAGCGTTGATAATTAAAGGCACATAAATTGTACGAGGCAATTCTGCGTAAGGAAAATCTTATCCCCTGTTCGTTGATTTTTTCAAACAAAAGTTAATTATGTATTGGGGTGCTCTTCACTAGCATGATTT